TACAGTTCGCAGTACGAGAGTTCTTCAAACACGAATATTTAATCATATTAAACAGGAAAGAAAACAGCAAATAATTCGAACTAAAACGATACAAATATTTCAAAATTACAATCAAGAATCGAGTGGCCTGGTCCCTATTTGAAGGGGTTCACAAAATGAAGTTACTTCCCTTGGTTCGTAAACTATTCGTACAATCATTCAGAGATTTCACATATTATTGATGGACAAATATAAAATTACATCTTTACTTACGGTGGCCAGTGCAGTGAAAATTTTCCCTACAGAAAGTTGGATTCGACACGGCGAATGTGCACGCTTCAATGGCTTGTCTCGAAGTGATTTCTGGCTAACTACGCAGTATGATAATACTCAGCGCTAGAGTCTACGAGACAATAAATAGCCATTGCACGTGCAATTCTCTACACATCTATCAACTATTACAGCCGTAAAAAAATCTATTTTTGTCGATTCTGAATAGCAGTAATATTTAGCTTTTTGTTTATTACAGCAGCTTTAGAAATTACGTTCGTTTTATTTTTTAAATTGCTTAATTATCATTAACTGTTCCGTAATATCTCTGAAAGACTTGCGTTTGGCAAGAACATGATACTAGTAAGTAGTTTCATTTTACTTTTACAAGGTTCTTAAAACAATTGTTGAGTTGCCTAACGTGCGTGTTTCTAAATTCAATTTCTTGTTCCAGCTTTCTGTTATGTTTCGTAAAACAAAAGTAGTCTTGATTATCCCGACCCGTCAATCAGACGTAGAATGGTCGGTAGACTGGTTAAGTGAGACTATTTTTAAAATAAGGGCACGTAACCTATTTTTTACTCACAAGTGCCCGGATGTTATGGCCGACACTCGTAACCATCTTTCAGTGTAATATTTATGGACGGTTAAATGGTCATAGCTTATTAAGTACAACATGACCGTAAATGACTATAAATGTGCGAAACTAATGTGCATATATAAATATTGTGGTGTAATTGTCGAGATATTTGGAGATATTTATTTATGGTAGGTCACTCTACTTTTACTTGCTTACACATGTGCGATTTCCAACATTTCGATCACATAAAATACGATTCAATCAAAATAAACAATTTCCAACTGCACATTGTGGGAATTTTCAACTTTCAAACTCTTCAATTTGTGAAAAACACAAAAGGCCCTATTATGTAGACTCGATTTTCTATGAAAGGTTTTGACCAAAAATACCTCAATCATAATAAAATAAAAATTCAAAATCTATTGTCACAACAGCGATGACACCGAGAGTTGATTATGGTCTGGATGTTTTGGGACTCAATAACCCTCTTCTAATTAAGGTAGAATATTCAAACTTGGTGTAGGCGTTCATTAAGTGAATGCATTGATGAAGTTCGAAGATGAGCATTTTCTGATTAGGGTAAGCAGAGATAAGCAATTTGATTGGCTGATGCTCTGGGACGCGATAATTACGTGGGACCGATGAAACTTGGGGTATAGTGTGCAAGAGTGATATTTTTTAATATAGTCAGTTGGTTTTGGTCATTATAATCTGCACTTAATATAAACTAATAGATGTTCTACTACCCCTTTAAAACAATTTTCTATACTGTCCACGCTATACCTGGTTTGTCCACTCACGACATCTTCAAATTTAACCTTTCTTATTTGTCTAGTGCGTTGTTTTATTATTGTAACTATAACTAGGGGTAATATGATGACGATATGAAAAAATTGACTACTATACATCAAAGCTGTACAAATATTAATTGTTCATGAAGTTAATCGAATCGCCCAAAGACGTTCATTCTACGATCAGGACTGTTCTCTATGAATATCTTGTCGACATGCTTTGGGTTCTGGCATCTGGGCCTACTTATTGACGAAAACTTAAACTAAGTTACAACCGAAATATTAAGAAATACTGCAACTTCATTGGATATAATGCAAATTGATTTTACTGGTCAGCCAATCGAATTGCAGTATTTCTTAAAATTTCGATTGTATCTTAGTTTAAGTTTTCGTGAATAAGGGCCCCGATCATGAAGGAGGTCATTATGCACCGCACACACTAGAAATGGTTCCACTCTGATGTATTCCGTCTTGCTCCAGCGACAGTAGTGGACCGTCCTTAAGGCCTTCCTTTGAGCAAGTTTTGTAGTCAATTGCCTACAAAAAAGTTACTGGCCTATAACTCTCTTATTTCCAATATCACTGACCCCAAACTGCACTGTACATAGCTCAACATACAATAAACCACTTCCCATTGAAATAATAGTGGTTCGGTCGTTTTGCGTCATGGAGTTGTTTACCTGTTCAGTTTTTTTTCATATTTTTATACTGTAAGTATGTCCCAGGTACTTTTGTGTAGAAGTTAACAAATTTACCTGCTTATATTAGTAGATCATGAAATATAGGCGGCTCGCGCAGAAGGGAATGCGTTTTTGATTGGTTGATATATTATTTTGATTTATGTGGATATAAACCATGGTGGGGGTGGGGGCTATGGGGTGGCTAAGCCCGCCCCCCCCCCAAAAAAAAAAATAAAATCGAATTAGCCCCCCCCCCCCCAATATTTCGCCGACAATAATGATTTTTTAGGACTGTTCAAATTGGTAGGCGACCCGTAGGGGGCAGAGACCTATTCGTCCACCACCCTCCCTTCCGATTCTAAGGGCCCCCCTAAATCCACGCCCATGTGTAGGCCTATAGGTCTTTGTACTGTAGCTTCGATAGAAACCATTGTAATGTAAAGATGATTTGTAAGGTCAAATTTAACTGATTATTAAATATACATCTAATATACATAAATACTGACAAAACATCCAAACGTTTAAAAAACTCAGTAACATGTAGAACAATTTGTAATATTTTCATGAAATCGTATCAAACAAAAATTACACGAATCAATTTATTTTATTTAATGTTTGACCTATATCGAATCTCGATATAGTTAAACACTATTTTAAACACATCTGGCAGAAACGCCAATATTCCCGGACGATAATAATGACATTTACGACCAGCTGGTATGATATTATATTTTATGTGATCACCCAATAGTACTTCTACAGTAGATATCGCTTGGGTGATAACTTACATAATATACTGAGGAGATATCGCTTTACTTGAAATGAAATCTATACTAAAGAATTATATTTATTTATTTGTGCGTTTAAGAAAGGGTAGGGTGATAAATAAAATCTCCTACTGGTTCCTTTTTACATTATCGACTTGTGTTGATATATTTTTGATATCAAAAAAGACTCGTAGGAGATTCTCTATTCAGTTACTTCTAATTTCTCTGTTTGACTAAATATCCACCAGCGTAATCATTATACGCAGTAGCGTGAAACAAGACTAGTACTTATAATACCAAAAATCAAAGGAATAGAAATGTGAAAAAAATTGCACGACGCCCAAATAAACAATGCGAATGAACTGCCTAACAAAACATTGATTGGTGCAATTGGATGCACTCTCTGTTGAAGGATTAGCGTAATTATTAGAGCTAGGTCTTGGGCTATGGTAAGCGCTAGCTTCAGTCCCCTTTTATAAAATGTGTCAACCATAGGTTACTTAGTTTCATGTATACAAAAATGATCAAAATATACTAAACAGAAAAAAAACCCGGGGATCACGTGGCTAAGTGTGTAAGAAGCTGGCTCGCTAGCCTGGAGGTCAGGTGTTCGATCCCTGCATTGGCCGAGACGTGGTTCCCCCTTGTCAGTGATAGTACCGCTGCCCGGGCAAAATTTCCCTCGTAGCACACTGTATGGCGTGTGCCCGTCTTCATTAGCCCAGTATATGAGCAGAACAGTAGGACGTTAAACCCCATTTCATTTCGAACAGTAGGACGTTAAACCCCATTTCATTTCATTTCCCCATTTCATTTCATTTCATTTCATTTCACTAAACAGAATACCTTATTATTTACAGTATTCATATCGATTATTCACATATGGGTTTGTACATTTAAACGTATAGCTATATATATAATATAACTAATTATCATTCACTGACCCAGTTTTTCTTTAAGTTTAAAGACCGAAAACTATGCCTTGGATTAGGAATTAAATGCGTGATGAAGCATCATTTGTTCATACACTGGCTACTGCAGTATAGGCCTACGTAAGATCCCTTGTGTTATATGAACTGTTTATCTCGATAAGATAATACGTGTATCGTATTTTCCTGTATACCGCCCCTTTGTGACAGTTTGAGATGGTTCCTGGTGTGTGATTACCGTTTAGCGCATGCGCAGTTGTAGGAGCCAGCTCACATCGTTATGGACACGGTGTGCATTGACACCCCCCCCCCCCCGGGATAGGATTTCCCCTAAGATTTTCTTACGGTCAAATCGGTTTCTACACTATTATCTACCAATATTTACAGTATTTCTATATGAGGAGGTGTCGAATTTCTATTGTTTGTTTATTTCGATAAAAAGTAGAAATACAAATTGACTAAGGCGCGGATTCACTAATAAAGTGAGTCGTAGCAATTCGTGTTGATGGAAAATCAGAGCGGTATTTTCCCGCGAGCGTCTCCCATACAAAAACGGTAATTTCGCTTACATTTCGATAATCATATAAAGGCCAATATTCAATCTGCAAAATGTTTAATTATTAAAACATAGTTAACACCTCAAAAAGTGTAACGTAATCACTAAAAAATCCCACAACGGCAACAAATTACGAACGATAGAAGTATTAGTTTCAAGCCAATCAACTTAGATCCGTTGATCGTGTAACTACTGATCACTAAAACAGCAGCTAATCACGATAACAAGTACGTTTATTCATGACAAAACTCTAACCAAATACGTAATACTTTTCCCTGAACTGATCAGTGACCAGGAACCATCTCACAATACCGGAAGTAGATATAGTTTCGTTGTTAACGCTAACAACAGTTTCGGACATGCGCAAGTGCCCAGGAGCAAACACACACCGGGGGTCAATTCAAACTGTCACACCGTTAACGTTATATTATTAGGATATTATGTGTGATTTAGTTCATTTATCGTCTGCTTCCACCGAAGTGATATGTTGACACGATACGTGGATCAAGTATTATCATATGATCATGGGATATAACTGTAGAATGGCGATCTTAGATAAGAATAACTACCTATATAATTTAATTTTTGGATATCAGCGGTGGTACAGGATATATAAGTGACCTGCTTAGGACGTAATACTCTAAAGAAACACGGGGACAGTTTGAAAAAGAAAACAGAAGGAAGAATAATTAAATCCAACATGACACGACCCAAAGTGATCCAAATATTAAAATATGTCGGTTTGTTTGTCGGTTGTGTAGCTAAATTTACCAGTGGTTCATTATTTGTGTTTAACGCCTATCAAAATGCCATCAAATCTACGTTCAATTATACACAATCAGAAGGTAGGTCCTTGTAATATATAGGGCTGGGTGGTAACAGGATCGCTTACCAAACCGCATAGCTTTTCTCCGGGCCTCCGGTTTAATCTAACTGCTAAAGACCCCTATATTATTATTGAAATAAAATTATATTATATACTCTTCAAAAACAGTAGGGGATATTGAAATGCAAATACCTATGCAGGTTGTGATATGATAAATAGTCATGGACACTTGACATGCTTTGAGAGTATGTTCACAGATGAAGAACTTATCGCCCCAACAGAACCACTGAGCTGCACATGCTACACGCAATAGCCATACACGTTCGAGGGGTTCATTGTCAAATTTGACACTTCAAGGAAGGGTTGATGAAAACTGCCGCGTGGTGGTTTATCTATCCTTGTTAGCATTCCTATCGGTTCTTGCATAAGATTTACTGTTTAGCGTATCTTTGCTTTAGTGTGTTACGTTTATTTTCATCGGGAGACGTGTTCGACGACGTCAACGTCAACCGACAACACTGCAAGAATTGACCGTGGCACTGCAAGAGAAGTGGGTCAGATTGCCCCAAATCGTCATTGAACGGTTGATTAGGAGCATGCCACGACGAATTGCTGAATGTCTGAGGATTGGTGGAGCAATTACTCATTATTAAGATAAAAATCAAAAACGTCCATTTTAACTTTTGACGGTGAATCTCTTTGCGAGTGAAATGGGGGCATCAGATAAGCCGCCCATATGATCTGTTTATGTTCATGTGTAGGCAATTGGCCTGTTATTAACATTCACTGTTTACCTCTAATAAAAACAGCAGTGCATTTCCGCAGTTTTTTTTATTGTTTCTGAATATTCCCTACTCTTTTTGAAGAGTATATTATCTTAATTCTCTACCGTGTTTGATTGGATGGGAACACCGGTTGCTTTATTAGTTGTTGGTGTCTAATGAAACAAAATCGCAATGATCTCTCCAAATATAGTGTAAGAAATAGAAACAAACACAATCGCAGGGAAATCTGCTTTTATTTCACCAAAAACTGTAAACACACAACGGCGTGGCCTAGCTGTTAGATTTAGAAGGATATTGGAGTAACCCACTGAACTGCCTGAAGTGCTATTTAGAGGCAATCTTGGAATTCATCCGTTTAAATTTTTTGAAGCCATTCGCCATTACGTCTTGTGTATAACAAACATGTTTATGCGAAATCACAATAGTAAAATATAAACCCACAAGTAGGCCTACACATCAAATGGGTTCTTTATTTCAGTGGAACTTCTATCGTCCGCCTTAAATCTTGGATTAGGAACGGGATTTCTTCCAGGAATGCTGTACGACCGGTTTGGACCATTCTGGACGTCTGGTTCTGGGCTTCTGGTGTCCAGTTGTGCTTATTTCCTTATATGGAGTACAACTAAATCTGTTGATTTTTATAAAACAAGATCAGGTTTAGTTGCAGTGTATTATTATTTTGCCGGTAAGTACAGCATTATGAAAGCTTTATCCTTTACCTGAAAACATTGCGAGAAAATCGCAAATAGAGCCCTGCGATTTCTAAACTTCATTGACGTCAGTGTCCAAATGTTTATTAGGAGTGTGTACTCCTCTATAGGTGCATTCACACTGGGGGTTTAATCTGAATTGGATTCAGAATAAAGTCTTATTCCCTGCCCTGCCCTGCCCTGCCCTGCCCCTAATGTCTAGACCTTAAATGAACAGTCGTGATCTGAACACATCATATCTTTGTATTTGGATTTTTAACTGGTTATGTTACCGCATATATGTTTCAGTGAGGTAGGGCTACGGCTATGTAGGCTATACCCCAACTGATTTATGTTTGCAATATTGATTTTTATTTATTTGCAGACTATTGGCCAGGAAAATACACACGTTTGCCTCCAAGCGATTAAATTGAAGTAGACGTGAACATGCGCACAAAATAACCCGACCTGGAACACTTGTTCCAGAATGAATTCAGAAATTATACGGATTCGTTATTTCAGATTGAGTTCGGATTTTAGCGAATTGAGTGTAACGCCTAAATCCGGAATATAACTTTATTCTAAATTCAATTCAGATTAAACCCCCAGTGTGAACGCACCTCTAGACAACGTATTTTAACTTATTAAGATCCTATGGTGTGTACTCGTTAATGTCTAAAGCTGCGTTCACACTGCATGCGCCTTCAATGCGAATTCGGAGACCGGTCTCCGGAATTCGGATTGGTTTTTCCCGGTTTAAAAGAGGTGCGTCACATTACAGTTTATTCGGATTGAATTCAGAATGAAAAGCGCCACACTGAATGCGCAGTGATAGTCATTCATATCCAAGATGGATGCGCCAGACATTCGTATTGGTGATCTTGTCTTGCTTATGTTTAATTGCTTGAGGCAATCAAAGCAACATCAGCGACGCTGGGTCCTATATCTCGACACCTTGCCGTGCAGCGCTGGGCACGATTTCGTTGGCACCAAAATCAAATGCGAATGAGGATGATTACTCCTTTGGTCGCGTTTGCTATACATCAACACGTATGTACATGTACTTCACTCTTGACTCTGTACTAGCGAAGATACATTTCATAATTGAAATGTTATAAAATGGGGTTAAACTTCCTACTGTTCTGGCCCGACGGGCATAGACCATTTTCCCAGGACAGCGGCGCTACGGCCTACGCTTTTATCGAATTCCAACTATCAAGGAATTTTTTACGTCCACGTCAATGTGTACACGGGAACTCTGTCTTTCGTCCCATCCGAACGACTAAACAGCTGTCCTTGTTAGGCCTTCAGCCCTGCAACACTGAAAATCACGATGAACGTTTTCGGTCAACACCGGGAGCGAACCCTCGACCACCAGACTAGGGAGCCAGCTTCATACTCACTGAACAATCGTGGCTCCCATTTCATAATTCAAATCTTTTCAGCACTAAACATACATAATGTAAAGCTTACCTGTCCTGCCCCCAAGGTCTAGACCATGAATGGTCAGCTGTGATCTGAACACACCTATCTTTGTATTTGAAATGTGGTCGTATATTGTCGTCGCCCCCGCCCGACGCGCTAGAGGCTAATGTTAATATCTGATTGACTTTAAATTTATGAACAGTGTTTAAGATCATGGATGAAGAATCAAATTGAATTTGAACGATTTACGATAATTACTGCCAGAGTTATGGCCCATGATATTAAATGTTAGTATAGGACAGAACTCGTAATCAGAATTTAGTGTGTTGTAAATGTTTGCATTACTAACAAAAGGACTTAGCTGCTGAGGGCGTATGTTTCGTTGCCTTACAACCTATTGTTAGCTAGTTATGTTAGTGCAGCATTTGTTTCAGTGACGAGGGGCTGCAGCTATGTAAGCTACACCCCATCATGCGCGCAAAGTTATCGTTTCCGGTAAAACTGTTGATCTGAATCAAGTGTGTCACACTCAAATCTTGACTGCGAATAACAAGATTCGGAATAATTGTTCCAAGTTGAATTCGGAAATATATATGGATTAGTTAATTCAGATTCAATTCGGTTTTTATCGAATTGAGTGTGACGCCAAAGTCCGGAATAAGGCTTTATTCTGAATTCAATTCAGATTAAACCTCTAGTGTGAACGCAGCTATACTGATTCTTAATCTCAATTCGCAATAAAATAAAAGAATTAAATACGGAATAATTTGTTTTATATGAGATCATCAAGACAACGTAGTATGTCCACAAATTTATATATTTTTATCCACCTATATTTTGTTCGCTAATACACATATCTTTTTCAGGGTTTGGCTCATTGTTTAGTTATATGTCTGCTCTAAATACAAACGTAATCAACTTTCCTGCTGAACATAGGGGTAAAGTAATTGGGCTGTTAAACGCATGTTTTACTGGTAGCCCTTCCATATTTGCATTACTTTATTACCATGTTTTTTCAACTGGTGACTATAATCGTGTAGAAAATCAAGATTTTTCCGGATTCATGTTCTTTTTTGCCATTTTGTTTGTGGTGATGAACTTGCTATGTATGCTTTTCCTGCACGATCTTTCTAAATTGAAATCGAAGGAGTTAGTTATTTCAAACAGCATCGACGAAAACAGTATTCAGGCATCTTCAGGGACTTCTATAAATCATCAAGATGGTACGGCCACAGATAAAGACACCTCACCCATATTACAAGATGGAGAAACCCAAGACGGGACGTCATTTTCGCGGTTTTTAAAACTAGTGAAAAGGTTAGACTTTCAACTTCTAACTGTGTCTTTTACGTTTGCGGCTGTGTTAGGGTTAGTGAACACTAATAATATTACTGTGATAACCAAAGCCGTAGGGCTGTCATCATACGATAACATTATTTTAATATCCATGCCGGTTGCGAATACTATACTGAGTTTGGTCATCGGGCCACTTTCCGACAAAGTGAAAGCCAAATGCCCTCGTCTCACTTTTTTCTTAGCTTCCTGTGTATTTTTCACCTTTGCTGAATTAGTTTTTATAATGTTTGCTTCGTCAATTGGTGGAATATTTATAGGAATAATACTTGCTGGTTTTGGCATTGGAATTTTATGGACATTAGTTCCAACCATAGTCAGTGAGCTGTTTGGAATTTCGGATTTTGGAAGAAATTGGGGAATACTTCTAATGCTTTCCGGACTTGGATCATTGGCCGGACAAGCCATATTTGGTAAAATTTATGATTCCATGATCACGGAGTCAGGGGGTCTTTATTGTTATGGCACAAAATGCTTTTTATATGATTTTATTTTTATGGCCATTTTAGGACTGATCTCAGTAATATTAGCCGCCATTTTAGATATACGGTTTCGAAAAAGACAATATAACCAAATACCCTAGTTATTAAAGATATGGGAAATATTATTGACACAGGGCTTTAAAAAAAACCCATCATATTTGTTCATTGGCACGGTGGGGCCGCCCGATAGAAACAAAGTAACCGCACAAAGATTTTCAGCTTTTGAAATCCTAAAGTCGAAAAAAGCAGTTTTGGATAGAATAAACAACCTAGAAAATGAATAGCTTAAAAATGCATTATGTAAGATTTCGATAAAAAGCTGACAGTTGTAGCTATCGTAGTTTATAAGTAGACAACGAAAAAGGAATATATTGAAAATGTCAAATTACTTTATTCTAAGCGAAGTTATGAATGTTGGAAGTTTTGATAAGAATAGCGTAGTCTTGATTTTCATTCATATACCACTTTTGCGATAATAAGAAATGTCTAGATTATCTATTTTAAACTGAATTACTAAATAGAGATCGTGTTTCAATCCATTAAAAATCACGACCATCGGATTATCTAGAGAGTTGTTTATAGGCTTGTCATGTGAATAAATGTCTAAATTTTAATGTTTAACATTTTGGGCCAAATGAAAGACCTGCAATACTTTTAGGCAAATTAAACTCTTACATAATGCATCTTTAATAGCTGGGAATGTTACAATATATTACACTTTAATATCTGAATTAGAAAATCAACGATGTGGGGCTTCTATGTTGCTATCAATACCGAAAGCGATAGAAATATTTAATATATATGTAAATGAATACAGTTAAACATCAATTTTACATACAAATTTAAAATAATATATACGCTTTTTTATATTAATTTAATGAAATGTGAAGCGGTGAATTTAATCATGTCTAAACATAATCGATATGCTTTATAATTGTATATATTAAGATAACCGATAAACAAAATTAAACATATATTAGTACCGCCATCTTTATTCGTCAATGGAAAGAATAAAATTATGTTTATATTAGGAACCAGGGGCCTGTTTCACGAAATTTTAACTAAAGATAAAATCCAAATTTTAGTCGATTCTTCAATTTTGATTGGCTAAGCACTAAAATCAATCTAATATTATCCAATCAAATTTGGATTTTATCATTGTTAAAATTTGGTGAAACAGGCCCCAGGTTCAATGCAAAGTAGAAAATGAAATGTGTTATCCGGCCAGATAACTGTGATTATAACCTTACGACTGCGAACATTACCAAACCCGTTAAAGAGCAAACACACTGCGTTCCCAGACAGTATATTTCTGACAATATTGCAAGCATATATACTTCCTTTATAAATAGTCTTTAAAGGAGACAGACTAATTTATTTGTAACCGTGATATTATGATAGTTGAAATAAAATGTTTTTATCTAAATAATCGTTACTGTAAGTGGTTCTTTTATGAGCACACAAACGTGTACACGGCAAGGTTCGGGTCTCACTCTATTCGAACAATTCGATACACCTTTCCTTATCATTGTATTTCGTGTGTTGGTGATCTGGAATTGGAATTGGTGATCTGGAACTGGCAACATTTCATCTTAGCCCACTGCATGGTTGATGAACATCTTTAATAGCCTGGAGATAAAAAAAAAACCAAATCTTTTTATAAGGAAAACAATCACTCGTTTATACACATATAATATAGCAAGACGTTTCGACAAGTATTCTCTTATCGTTTTCAAGTACTAAATAAGAGAATACTTGTCGAAACGTCGTGCTATATTATATGTGTATAAACCAGTGATTGTTTTCCATATAAATTGTGTTGTGTTTTTGAAGTGCTCAATCGCTAAATTCCACCCAAGGACTATTAAAAACAGCTATATAGGAGGCAGACCACCATTAAATTTCACCATCGTCTATTTATAGCAATTCTCTCTCTGTCTCTTTTCTCTCCTTTTGCATGCCCATTTTTGTTGATTTTTTGGTCTAGAATGGATGAAGTTTGTGTATCTCAAAATTTTGGTGGTCAACCTCATACAAATTTTAGTGCAAAGACATAACCATTTGTTCCTCTGTCTGTGGTGAAAAGCATTCAGCCCAACGAAAATTTGGGGAAAAGTTGGAGGTGGGCAAAGAGGCCAGAATTAACATTGAAGTCAATGGGGAAATTAATGATGGTCTGCCTCCATTTCAGTTAATGTGGTTGTCTCCCTTTAAAGGCTCAATACCACTCTTGTTGTAACTGAATAATATGTCCCAATCTTTAATCTGGTCAACAAATTGTACTATTTTAGAATGTTTCAATTAATTGATGATACAAATTTCATCTTAACACACCTTATTTAAAAATTTTGAAAAATTCAACATAATGGTTTGAAACGTCTAACGTAACCTTTTCAAATGAAACTTCGATTTAAAAATATTTTCGAACCCTCTGAACAAGTAAAATAGGATGTAATGGGTAATTTACACAACAGGTAGGACACTTAAACATCTAGTACTTAGATAGAGATATTATTTATTTTCTGGAGCTTTCAAGCCAGCAAGAGTGTTATTGTCCTTTTAAACATTATGTTTATTATCAACAACGCTTGGTCTTCGCGAATTGCAATGAATATGCTTACACAAAATCGGCCAGGATTAAGACTGCATTGTTGAATATTAGAAGCGGGATACTGTGCGTCGTGGCGGATGAAGGGGCCTCGGTGGCTCAGTGAGTAAGACGTTGGCTCGCTAACCTGGAGGTCGGGTGTTCGATACCGGCGTTGGCCGAGAAAGTTCATCGGATTTTCGGGTGTGGTTCCACCTTGTCAGTGATGCAGGACAGAGGGTCTGGTAAGGGACAACGTATAGTCGTTCGGATGATAGGAAAAACCGAGGTCCCGTGTACACATTGGCGTGCACGTTAAAGATCCCTTGTCAGTTGGAATTCGATTTAAGAGTAAACAGTAGCGCCGCTGTTCCGGGCAAAATTTCCCCCATAGCTCTCTGTATTGCGTATGCCCGTCTGCATTAGCTCAGTCGGAGCAGAACAGTAGGACGTTAAACCCCATTTCATTTGTGACGGATGAACTGCATTAGACAGCTAATTCTTTACTTCCTCGTTTATTTGGGCAAGTCTGGTTTACAAAGGTGTCGTAATTTTTGAGAAAATGACAAAACGTGTATTTTTTAGTTTAGTTTAAAATGTAATTGTATTAGGTTTCCAAGGTGTGTGTGTGTGGGGGGGGGGGGGGGTAAAATAAAAGAGAGATTAAAACAACCATTAGTCGTATGTACAAGGTATACTTTATTGGGATGATTGAAATTTCAGAACATAAAAGAAGTCAGTTTTGGAGTTTAATAGTGTAGCCCTGTAACACCGAAGGAAGACGTGTTCAGAATTTTCACCATGATGGTGTCTGGTTATATTAAATTATTTCCAGTTTTTCAGAATCGCCGTTACGTCCATTCCAAACTTTGCAAGCATATCCCAATAATCACCCAAGATGAGTTTTATATATACTCTTCAAAAAAAAGGAGGGGATATTCAGAAACAATACAAAACTGCGGAAATGCACTGCTGTTTTTATTAGACGGCCAATTGCCTACACATGAACATAAACAGTTCGTATGGGCGGCTTATCTGACGGCTCCATTTCACTTGCAAAGAGATACACTGTCAAAAGTGAAAATGGACGTTTTTTTTAGGTTTTTTTTTAATAATGAGTAATTGCTCCACCAATCCTCAGACATTCAGCAATTCGTCGTGGCATTCTCCAAATCAATCGTCCAATCACGTTTTGGGGCAATCTGACCCACTCCTCTTGCAGTGCCACAGCCAATTCTTGCAGTGTTGTCGGTTGACGTTGACGTCCACGAACACGTCTCCCGATCATGTCCCGGACATGCTCTATAGGGGAAAGGTCAGGACTCATGGCTGGCCAAGGCATATGGACAATATGGTGACGCTAGAGGTAGTCATTAACGACACGAGCGCGGTGGGCACGGGCATTATCATCTTGAAAGATGAAACATCGCCCTGCACGTTGAGCAAAGGGTTGAACTATCGGTGCCAGGATGTGGTCACGGTAGTACGCACCGGGGACCCTTCCTTGAATAATATGCAAGTCCGTTCTGCCAGTCATGGTCATTCCTCCCCACACCATAACAGACCCAGGTCCGACGTTAACGTTAGCATGACGCTCATTTACACGTCCCCAAACGCGAGCACGCCTATCTGGAGTAAATCTGGACTCATCTGAGAACATTACACGTGCCATGTGCTGGCGAGTTAATGGAGGCACACCACGCGGTCGTCGCGCATGCAAATGGGCTGCATGTAGCCGATTTCTAGTCGTTTGGGGTGTAACTCGAATTCCTGTAACTTGGTACAAGTTTACAGAAAGCTGATTGGCCGTTTGTCCTCGATTTCGCAGGACCTGTGTACGAATGTTACGATCCTGGGCTTGTGTAGTGGCTCTTGGACGACCTGAACGAGGTCTATCATCAGCACTCTGTGTTTGTTGGTACCGGTTTCACAGTAGCATGTTGGCTACTGCTCGCTGTGTAGAACCCATTTGAAGCAAGCCAATAGCACGTAGACGTTCATCATGTTGAAGACGTCTCATTGCAAATTAAACGTAAAGCAAATATACGCAAAACAGTAAATCTTATGCAAGAACCGATAGGAAAGCAAACATGGATAAGATAAACCAGCACGCGGCAGTTTTCATCAACCCTTCCTTGAAGTGTCAAATTTGACAATGAACTCCTCCCACGTGTATGGCGCTATTGCGTGTCGCATGTGCAGCTCAGTGGTTCTGTTGGGGAGATAAGTTCTTCATCTGTGAACATACTCTCAAAGCATGTCAAGTGTCCATGACTATTTATCATATCACAACCTGCATAGGTATTTACATTTCAATATCCCCTACTTTTTTTGAAGAGTATATAATCTAACATTTGATGACAGTCTGATCCTGCAATTTGCATGTTTCGATCCGATACATGCCAATATCGAAAGGAACCAAGATCTTTTGGAGTGGAGATAAACCTATATTTCAAGTTTCATGGAGATCGCATAACGTGTACACAAACAAATTGTGGACGTACGGACGGACAGAGATGGGCAGGGGCGACGACAATATACGTTCACATAAAAATGTGGGCGTATAACGATAATGTACTTTTAAAATTTCGCCCGCGCATGGTGTAGATAAGAATATATCATGGAATGAACGCTGATGATACATTTCTGAATTTATTTCTTCTTACTTTCATTCAATATAATACATTCAATTATCAATTCCTTCTGATACAGTCTAAATCTCCTTACGTAAGTACAAATAGTTTCAAACGCACAATTGTCAACACATTTCATAACAGTTTGTATTGACATAGGTAATTCTATCACAAATAGTGAAGACTGAACCACTAAAATAGTTATTGAACAGTTTTTCTTTGTGGTAATTATGTGTTCTACATTTTCAAAGCGACATTTCTTTTAATGTAAGCCGCCTTGACACCAGCCAGATAAAATCTCACCAAATTTCGCGTAACAGTTGGGTTTTATCAAATCATATAATTATGTGGTAAGATTTCACCTTTATTTCAATGGGAATTGGTTTATTATTTGTTAAGCTATGTGCAGTACAGTAAACTTTTTGTAGTCATTTGACTAAAAAACTTGCGCAAAGGAACTCCGTAGGACGAGCCATTATTGTGGCTGTAGTAAGGCTTAAGACATTAGTAGTGGAACCATTTCTAATTACTCTTTGCCGTTGAAAACAGATTTATGTATTAATCTTATGACAGATGTATTATTGTTTTATTTACATTATTGATTCCATTATATTACAAACACGGTGCTGTTTCTGAGACAATCTTCAGGTACAATTGATCCCCGTTATTAAATGGGAATAAGAATATCTTAAGCGCCTAATTATTACTAAAATTTCTCGCTTTGACAAAAGTCCAAAAGCTCAGCAAAATAAACTGCTCTCTATGCCTTGATAAGGAAAATGCCTAAATGGATGTTTTTAAAAAATGTTAGTTAACACATACGCTCTTTACACAAGCCTCCCCCTCTCCAAATGTTATTATCCCCCCCCCCCCTTCACTTCCCTTTAGACACTTGCAATATTTGAATAGAAAGGAAAACAATTTCACAACACTAAGTCATTTACATTTATTAATACATACCACAAGAAATAGTTAATCAAAGATCGATTTACATATCAACATTACAAGAATGTTATTAACACATAAGTACTTAGAAGATGTAATAAAACAATAACATGGAAATAACCTTTAAAAAGTAGAGAAATAATTATATTCTTTGTATTAATTACTAGAAATCCTAGGATAGGTATATTTTCGTAATCTTTTCAGATAAAGAGCTGTGCAACAAGAAGAAAATTTAAAAGATAACACTAGCCAAAATACACGTTTACAAAATAATCTTATCAAAACAGTAGACATAGACAATGTTTAAATTTTGCCTTAAAATTCTAAATATAGTCTAATGTTACAAAACTGCATTCACATAATCATTAGTTAATGGTAGGTCTATCTTTAAATCCAAATACACGCTTCTCATAAATTTATTCAAATCATTTTTGTCTTTGTCATGTTATGGTACCAGACAACTGTTTGTGTTTGATACCCTATTCTGATCGTAACAAACCTAAATGTTCTGTTGACAAAATTTGAGAATCATTATAGATAATCATGATCTATTGCTGAGAATGACTGATAATAAAGAGCTACTAAAATCATCATCGGTCTCTTGACTACTACGTGTTCTCACGGCATGATGTAATTCGAATTAAAAAACCACAGATGCTTGCTGGTAGTTTTTACTTGCGATTAACTATTTTCGTAGTGGCTTACAAATGATAGTTCTTTATCGTGAAAACTCAATGTCTGTGGAGCCCGAAGAGATGTCAATATCAATAATCAGCGATCAAGTTTCTTTATTTCTTTAAAACATGTTCTCTTTTTTGTCGATTCTATAAATATAAATCTAAGCCAGAACGATAGTTTTTAATTAGTATTAAAATACAGATGTGACGTTATTCTTTGATGTTGGCGTACCATTATTTCAATGTGCCAAGCGTACCTTTTTTTTTTATACTAGTTGAAAGTTTGGACCCGCGTGACATATTTCATTGCAAAGCACGTGCGAGTGTCTGTATTTTAAATTGTTTCATGGTCTCGAGCTGTAGACATTGCGTAATATATTGAAACAACGCCCGGCAACTAACGTCCCTCGTGTTGTTTCAGTATATTTCTTAATGTCTCGCTCTCGACCATTAAACCACGTTTAACTTTTTGTGTGGGTATGGATTTTAAGATGACATTTTACACAAGCCGGGCAGATTTTTAAATATTATATATATATATATATATATATCAATATGGCCTGAAAAGGTTCAAGAGAAATTAAAACATTAGTGATAAATATGTGTTTATTTCTTTTTTTCAACGTAATATTAATATTCATACCTTCTCCAACTTTAAAATCTTAATAGATATTTTTCTACACAGACATGAAAATATTAATTTTAATCACAAAAAATAATACAGCAATGATTCAGACAATAGGCTATAATATTATATATGTAGATATAACAGATAATAAATATGGACGGATAATGTACATTTATTATATCATATATACACAATAATTAACACAGTATGAATCAGCTTAACAACAGAGTGTAATGAACACGTCGTGTAAATAAACAATCACGCATGATTTATACACGTATAAGAGAATTAATTAAATTGAATATTATTATTATGATTCAACAAAATTTATATTTATAAGAACAGCGGTGCCACTATGTAGTTTTATGTAAGGATTAATTATTGCCTCTTTTAAACATTGTTCCAACAGTGTAATTATGAATAAATAGATCTGCTGTGCATCCATTTGTTGTGTCATGTGATGTATCTATCACAAATAGTAAAAAAACGTATTCCACATTAAATTTATTGATGGATGGAGTAAAAAGATCATAATTTTATTCACCGTAATTTGGTTTCGCGGTGTTATACAGTATAGTTCACAGGTCCAAATTCTAGTCCTATCACACTATCTGAAACTCCGTGATTCGTTTTTAGAGTTTTCACGTGGAGTCCGACTTTTCGACTAGAAAATCATGGTTTGTCTCGATAACCCTGTCCATTACTTCCTAATGACATCTTCCCGCCTACATTTTTAAGTTTGTTTTCCAGCGGGTAATACAGTATTGAGGGCTATCACTGCGTATTAACTATTTCTTACCAAAGATAACAACGCTACCCAATTGACGCATTTATGAAATCACCCAATTGAAAATTTATTGATGTCAATATGAAGTTTTAATGTGTTTTAAAAGCTCAGTATTCAAACATGGAACGATTCCTAAAGAATATCAATTTAGCAAATATTTCTTTTTCATGATAGTTGTAATGTACTAAAACGAATGGTATTATCAAATCTAATAGATTGTTGATATCGCTTCAATGAAACCGGAACAGATTTCTTCCCCCCAAAAGCATCGGCATGATTTAAGATAAAAGTAAGAATGTGATCTAATAAAGTAAAAGTGGATGTGAATGTTGTTCATTTGGACTATTGTCTGAAAATGACCTAAGTAATCAATTGACGAGACGCTAAATCCCCTTGCTGCTCTTTCAATGATGTCTGGTATAACTCAAGATTTAATTTCAGTTATCTTGCAGAATCTCACAAACCCATGGTCATTACACATGTCAGCTATTCAAATTACGTTATCCACAGTGAGTGTTATATTTTTCATCATGTCTGGACGTATCTGTATTATGGAATTTCTAGGTCTCAGTGATCGCACGGAATGTTCTGAAGCAGTAAGCTTAAAAATAATATTAGCAAAAAGAAAATAACTATTAATGCTAATGAAGGTAATATCAATGAAAGAACAAGTTAAGAAACATGATATTTCTTCAAGGCTGTGTCACCTACAAAACAACGAGACAAGAGTCAGGTGAACTTTGTCTCGCCATTTTGTTTTGATGACGGGGTTGTGTAAATGGATGTATTCGAGATGTTGGAATTGATTGTGCGCATGACACTAGTGAAGGGACGACGTACTGTTCTCCGGCACAACACAGTGTCGAAGAAACGACGTCGGAATCGCTTTCCACTCAAGAAATACAAATAGAAATTCACGGCATGGTTACTATCGGATAACACAAAGATTAGCTGGTTGGTCAAAAGATACTGTGCGTGTTCGTATGAGTTTTCCTGGTATGTCCAATATGGCTTCACGATAAAGAAGAGACAATTGGGAATGGTCAACAACACGAACACAATAGAAACGACAACAAGCATGATGGTGATTTGTCTCAGTTGGCGGAACTTCTCGGCCATTTGATCCGATTTGCTGTTAGTGAGTTCCTTTTGTATCTTTCCTGAACGGCGAATTCCGAATATGATGAGGAGGTTGAAAACAAAGAGTAAGATACATGGTAGAATGGCGTATAAAGCCCCGTCTATCCAGTACCAGTACAGATTGATAAACTGCAGATATTCCTGTTTAAAACTACAGTCAACGCTACCATCTTTACCCACATTCTGAGTGGCACTCCAGAAAAACTGCAAATCCGCGATCAGTAGTACAAGAGCCATGATAGCCATGATCATTGCCGCCTTTTTGCCGTCACAATAGTTTCCGACCTTAAGCGGCAGCCAAATAGCCATGAACCGTTCAATCGTCATAGCTACTAGAATCCAATTAGCATACATGGCAAAAAAACTTCCGAAATAATATAGAATTCGACAGCCTGTGTCTCCCATCTGAATATCATACAGCGTCAGTTGGTGAAACAGTAATTTATCTATGATGGCAAGAGTATCGACAGCCGCTAAAACCGCCACGTACGCAGTTGACGAGGTTAATGGAGGCATACGCAATATGGTTATAAAACTGGCTAAGTTACCGGGAAATCCAATAGCGAATATCACCCACAGATAATACAGATTAATATAGTAAGCTGCCCAGAAGATTTTAAATTGTTCCACTGGTCCATATTTTCCGTAAGGACTGGGCGTGGTTGTACTTAGCGGTGTACTCAATGTACCGTTATTATAGATGTTGGTAGTCCATTCTGAGAGCGTCTGGTTGATGTTTAACGTCGTGGAAGTCATTTTCTTGCTATGTCTTTATTGCAAATCTGAAATATATTTTTAGAAAAAAAAAAGATTAATAGAGGTCAAAGTATATAAATGAAACTGCCGCTGTACTCTAAATAAAACGCTACCATGATGTATAAAACGTATCATTATCGCAAACCTGTTAAACCTGGGTCCGACAAGAACGGACAATTAAGGGTGATATTTTTTGTCAGTATCGCGCAAAGTATTGCAAACATTTAACGAAGAGGAAAGATATGGTATAGTTATGGACAGATAGGACCGTTTTAGTCAAAATTTCAATTCTCCATATTTTTTCAATTTCTAATGAAATCATTTAAAATTTGGATACGATGTGTAGGATATGCATATCTCCTTTTGTAAAATTTTGGGCGCTATTGACAAAAAGCTACCCTATCTGTAGGACTAAACCTTTTAGATTAAAATTATTTGTTGAGCATCCGATTAAAAGAAGAAGGGTTGCTTTTAACAATCTTGTCCTTTTACTCCACTGTTTCATTAAAGAACGTATGGCTCTATTTTTTGGAACATTGAAATAGACAAAAATTGTTCGTAAAAGCACATATTAATTTAATATGAATGTATGTAAAGTGATTTATATTCAATTTTTGAAAAATATTGTAATTTTTAATCAATTATGTTCGATGACATACGTGAACAGTTCAAATTGAAAGACAGTCGTTTACGCCTGCTTAGCGCATTCTACACGTTTTTTAAATTATTATTTTGTCGTTTGTGAATCAGCCTTTGATAATTACTTCCACTTTGTGTTTTAGGATATGTTTTTATTTGTTCGTTACAAAATGGCATAGGGTAAGCGACTTGTGTACTGATTATAAAATGTAAATCGTGTCTTAAAGATTAGATATTAGGGTCCTGTAATTTCAGGGCAAGATACAAACATCAATATTGATGGAAATTAATCAATATTTAATTCTAATTGGTGCTTTTAATTTCGAATATTATGGAAAATATTGAGTTAGAGACTTAGCTCCTTTAAGTTGGAAGAAATATAAGTAACTTAGTTATATCCGCCTATTAATTAGTAGAAAAACAAACACTTTTACAATAAGAATAAAATCCTTTAGCAACTCTTATAAAAGAGATTATGCTGTGTCAAAAATCTTGAAATGATCTATTATTAATAGAATGCAAAGCGAACACACAGAGTAAACGAGAAGATGGTAAAATTCACAAGCAATTCAAGTTATCGTAAAACATTAATTGAATTCCGCTGTTACGTCATATGGTGATGGCGTCTTACTTCCGACTTTGTGGTAAAATAACACCTAATTTCTAATACAATTAAAGCGCGAACACACAATCAAAGGCAAATGAAATTATGAGTTCAAACCAAAAAAAAAAAAAAAAAAAACCAACAAAAAAACAAAACAAAACAAAAAACAATTTGAAGAGAGAAACTTGTCACCAAGTTTTGATTGTGTTATACTAATACGATCAACCCTTCAAATAGAAAAAGGCATTTCGGCGTCTTTCTTCCACGTCTGTAATGTAATTAGCACCATTTTTAATGGAAATGTTGAGACATACGTCACTAGCTTCATTTATAAGAATTTTCTTGTTTGTAACTGTCACGAATGTCTCTTATGTTTGTAAATTGAAGTTCACGGTTGTCAATCAAGTCGACTTATGCGTAAAATAAAATACATAATAGTTTATCTTACATGGTATTTTTGAAGACCAGTAGACTTCCTTATTATGTAATGCAAATGTTTGAGGAAACCAGACTAAATGGTAACAATCAACGAGGTTGTAAAATCCTTGTAAAAAACCTGCGGTCGAACCCCCACCTACATAAATGATAGGATTTATGATTAAAGATGCATTATATAATTTTCTTTATTGTTACCTAGGAAACAATTCCTTCATTATTTTCACACCATGTAACCAATTGAATTCGCAAACCAAGTTTTCCATAGTGTTTAAAGTACAATGCCAAGGTAACTTTTTGTAACAATTTGTTAAAAACAACCACCATGTTTCAAACAATTTTTGCCTTTAAAAAAACCCTTACCATCATTAGCTGGTTCGTGGATATTTTTTCGGTATCTTGTGGAAATCGTTAAGTGTGTGTCTTTCGACATGAATGACATTTAACGATTGACAAAGTAAACAACCATAGCTTTCCCAAATTGAATAACAGCATTCCAGATCAGCTTAAAAGCAATCTTGATTTGTTTTTGTAATTATAGTAAATTGACAAATTTACAAAAATTGTTGATAAAAAAGGTCACTATCGGGAGATAGCATCGGTTAATTTCCACCGGGAGAAGGAAGTTGAACACAGTTCATGCTTACATAAACTAGTTTAGATTCCCAACAGAAATCTAACAATGTAAATGGAAAACCAAGCCATTTCTATTTGTATGTTTACTTAGAGAAATTTTGTTTTGTTGAAAAGAAACCCAAATGACTCTAGTTATTTTAGTTGGGAGGTTCTGCGGTGTAAAACCACTTAAGATGTTTTTATAATTTCCTTCGGTTCATCAATTCTTATTATTTGGAAGAATACACAAGGTAGAAAAGGCATCGGGAATAGAGGAAAACATTTGTTAGGGTGTAAAGCCGGCACTCGGTATGGTTCAGAGAGTAACATAACATGTTTACAACTCTTCCCTGGTGAACTTCCTAGATACAACATCTGGCCCTTATTAAAATAAAGTTCGAGTTTTAGTGTCGGTCAGATGACAGCATGTGCGGAGCCTACCTACAGGTGTCGCAAAGGGATTGCTTTGGCTGTAGTCATATTGGCAATCTAAAATTGCCTGGCCCATGTTATCTGCGCCAATTATGCATTAATCGCAATGATTGAGTAAGATTCATTGTCTGAACAGTTTACGATTGACTCTTTATTCTCTCTATTAATAGTAATAGCATGTGCTTACAGAGGAAATACCCCGCACTTAACCGTCAATCACAATTGTGAGCAATAGCTAGCTAAGTCCTCTAATTAGGATCGGGGAAAAAACAGAAACATTTTTGTCTACCTTTTTTTGCATTCCACCTGACACAGCGTTCTTTACATGCATACACGTGTCTTATTTATAATACTACATTCACTTTACGTCGTATGTACGGTAATCACGAGTTCGTGGCTTGAGAATTATCATGTAAGTCATTTACTCGATTGTTAAAAAAACGTTTTTGATCCGTACTGGGATTGGATTGGGATTACCTAAATCTCTATTCGGAGACTTCACAATTGATAATATGTAAAGCCCCCGTCAGACCAAAGGTCGATGTGGTTCATATCTAAAACGTTTGGCGATCTAAGGAGACTCATAATTTCTAGCAGGCCACATAAAATCGCGTTACAAATTTGATGAAATTACTTCAACCAGTCTCCGAGACCCACAGACTCGGTAACTACACGATGTCGATACGACCAAAAATGAAATGAAAATGAAATGAAATGGGGTTTAACGTCCTACTGTTCTGCTCCTAACCTGGGCTAATGAAGACGGGCATACGCCATACAGTGTGCTATGAGGGAAATTTTGCCCGGACAGCGGCACTACGGCCTAATCTTATATCGAATTCCAACTGCCAAGGGATCTTTTACGTGCACGCCAATGTGTACACGGGACCTCGGTTTTTCGTCCCATCCGAACGACTAGACAGCTTTCCTTTTCAGCCCCTCCGTCCTGCATCACTGACAAGGGAGAACCACGCCGGAAAATCTGGATGAACTTTCTCGGCCAATGCATATTTGGTTAGGGGTTGCATCTTTAATTAAATGCGTATTTATTAACAACAAATTATATAATATTATATTAATTAAGACCGGACGTTTATATATATTATGTAGGTTCTATACATATGTAAATCAACGAAACATACTACAGATTTTGATAATACAATTAAATATAAATGAATTATAAATTATATATACATTATTTACATAAATGGACATGAATATGGTTCTTTAAATGACATCTAGAAACACGGTTTTGTGAAACGCATCTATCTTAAGTTAGGATGAAATTTTAGTTTAAGACGATTTTAAGGAGATTTAAGTTTTTGTGAAACAGGGCCCAGGGCAGATAATTTGAAATCGTGAAAACCCTATGGATTAACACAGGCTATAGTGGAGTAGAACGGAATGACAACACTGGGGATACCGAGGATGATTGAAAACATACAGCGTATGAAATAAAATAAAATGGGGTTTACGTCCTACTGTTCTGACCCGACTGGGCTAATGAAGACGGGTATACGCCATACGGGTGCGCTGAGGGAAATTTTGCCAGGGCAGCGGCGCTATGGCAAAGGGATCCTTTACGTGTAAACCAATGTATACACGGGACCTCGGTTTTCCGCCCCATCCGAACGACTAGACAGCTATCTCGGCCAATGCATGGATTGAACAGGGTTTGATGATGGCCGGGGCAAAACTCTTAATGGTGTGCCTCCAAGACTCAACTATAGCTCCCAGTACTGAGAATGTGAGAAAGAAAGCCATTTTAAATATGTAAAACAGACAAAATAACCCCTTTATGCAGCTTACACAACGCAGTTCAAAGATACTTCCACTCTTTGATTGATTCCTCATCTACGCCCCGTCCCTGGGACCAGATAACGTACCCTTAATTGACACTTTATAGAAGGGCAATTACACACGAGATAAATACTTATCTCTGTATATTTACAGATCTATCGATTTCCTTTCTTTAATGATAGAATTATTGTTAAGGATGTCTGATAACATTTACAATGTATATATAAACATTTCATAAAAGCAAATTGAGTGAATATGGCAGGTCTCTTTCTTTACACTTCGGGTTAAATTTGTGTAATTTACCCACTATATACATGATATCGGTTCCTGAAAGTCTTTTATTAAGTTTAACCGGCCAAATGAGGAACCCACGCTTGTCATTTACCTGGCCATAACCCTACAGGGGTTTGTTAATAGACCACAGTGTTGGCAATAACGAAACCACTTAAATTCATCTAATCCATCGTAATATACCGAGTATACAATGCCATTCTTCATAAA